AATGAATTAAATATTATAAAAGCTTTCCAAAAAAAGAAATAGAGCAAGTATTTAAAAAACGGAGGGAATAGTTTATGCATGCAATTGATCTATTGAAGGAAAAAGATAATTAAGGACGCTAATTGATTGATTTCAATGTCTTGTAAAGCATGTGCGCAAAATAAAAATACTGATTTATTTGTGGTATGGTATGGTACAACCCGAGAGGGCAAGCCCCACAAGGCCACAAATTGAAGAATTTTTTTTTTTTTTTTTTTTGAGAGCCACAAATTGAAGAAATTAGGTAACGGCTTGAAAGTAGTAGAAGTGCTAGAAGATACTCCATATGTCCCTTAATTACATTCTTATTTTTAAATTACACGGAAATTAAGAAATTTGGAGTAACCTTAAAATTCAAGTTTAGAAACTACAATGGAAATTACAATGCATTTATTGTTGTCTTTAAATAAAACAAAGATAGAATGATATTAAATTAAGCACATGTCATCACTCTTTTGAAAAGAAAAAAATCAATCACATTTTTTTTATGAAAAATAAGGACCAATCATATTTAATTATAGTGATGCAGTGCTCACATGGATTCAGATGTTATGAGTGAGAAAATTATGATTTCCGTGCAACCATTAATTGCAAAATAGAAAAATAATACTACCTCCGTTACAGATTATGTGCAACGATTTGACATAAAGCAGAGAGGGAAAATGTCTAATCGTTGCACAAAACCTGTAACAGGGGTAGTAAAAATAATGTCACATACTCACATCACAACTATTTATGGATAATTTGAGGATATTTGGTAAAAATTCAGTACTAAAAGGGAAAGTAGAAATGTAATTTTGAAATACCCAATAAGAAAACAGAAATGTAATTACGGGACGGAAGGAGTACCTTAAAACGTTAAAATATTAATGAGACATGTAGTACATTAAAACACGGTTATGATTTGTCGAACAATACGTTTCAATAATTCAATCAATCATATACACTTATACAGTACTTTGTAATAAGGCTTGTTCAATTCACCTGGTCTCTTTTTTCTTTTTCTTTTTTTTTTTTGAAACTTTTATTCAATTCACCTTACAAAAATAATATTCATTCAAAATAATCTCAATATAGTAACAATAAGGAAAATTTGTAAATAATCACCCCTCAAATCATCTTTTTTTTTTTTGACAAAGGATACAAACAAGAAATTACATATTAATACTAAAGCAAATAGAGTTAATCGCCGCTTCTCCAGCAATTAGATGAGCTCTGTGGACGCGTTGGCGAGCCGCCTTATGAATACTGCAAACCCGAAACCTAGAGGCAAGTTGTAAAATCCTCCGAATAAGCCATATATAAGCGATATAACCTTGCCCCTCCCCTCGAAGCAGGGAGACCAGAAGATAGGAATCAGTAAAAACCACGAGAGACATAAATCCTTGGTCAAACGCCCACTGTAGCCCATACATGCATGCCAACGCCTCCGCATGTAAGGCCGAGGAACAAACCTCGAAGTTACCACCTCCAATGATCCGAGCATCCAGTGGGTCATCATTATCCAAGCACCATCCCATTTCTGCTCGTCGAGAATCTTTGGACCAAGCGCCATCTATCTGAAGAGAAAGTAAAGCACTCCCATGCGGAGTCAGGCCAAGCTGAGCCATGTAAAAACCAGGCGGAGAAGAGGCACCACCATCTGTGGCCGCAATAGTAGGGATACTAGTAGGGGCATCTGAATCGACAAAAATTGAATGATTAACCATAACCTCCTGAAACAGAGACTTAAGGCCGAGACGCAGAAGAATCCCTAAAAATCCTGGATTACGACATAACCACAAGCTCCAAAGCGTACCAACAAAGGTACCTAAGCAAGTACTAGAAAGACCATCCTGACTGATAAAAAGTCGGATATAATCTTGGATCCAATTAAGAGAGAAAGGTCTCCATTAAATTCTGAGCGAATGTCGAGGCATCCACCCCTCCAAACCGAACGTGCATTAAAGCACATTCTGAAAAGGTGTTGTAAATCCTCCGGTTCTGAGCTACAGAGGTCACATCACAAGTCTAGAATCGGAACTCCTCGATGATTGAGTTCTACCTTAACCGCAAGAGCGCGGTGTAGCAGTTTCCATAAGAACAACTTCCATTTAGGCTGCACCGGAAGAGACCAAAGAGCCTTCCAGAAAGAATTAGAGGCGAAAGGTATAGAAGGAAGGGAAAGTTGTTGTTGAAGCATAGCATACCCAGTTTTAACCGAGTACTTTTCAGTAGGGGTACCCGACCAATAACGGAAATCGTCCTGAGTCGTATCAGGGGCCTCCATTGCCAGGATTGCTGAAGCATCCGCAGGAACAAACCAATCAACAACTTTAGTAGTATCCCAACCCATGGTCTGAAGATTGATGAAAAAACTGACAGTGGGAGGGGTCGAATCACCGAATGTGGCAAAAGAATTCCTGGTTTGAATTCAGGAATGCAACCATTAACCCACTTGGCTGACCCAGCTAGAGTGGACTTGCCATCACCAGTTTTCCAGTTACATCCTGAATTCAACAGAGTATTTGCCTTGAGCAAACCCCGAAGGCCGTAGGAGTGGCGACCAGAATAACACGACCCAGCATTAGGGGTGCTGGAGAGAAAGGTCGTGCGAGCACTAAAAACTTTAGAAACTAGCAACTGCGGGTTAGTAAAGAATCACTAAACTTGTTTCATGAGCAAAGTCTTGTTTAAGGAAGACAAGCAACAAATTCCCAAACCACCGAGGCCACGAGGAAGGTGCATGGTATCCTTATTTACCCAGTGCATACCTTTAGTATTAGAATGCGCCCAAAAGAAGCGCAACAGTAAGGAGTCAATTTTCCCACTCACAGAGACGGGTAACTCATAACAAGCGAGAACATGGGAAGCCATAACAATAAGGATTGAGTTAATAAAAATTAACTTCTGCGATTGTGAGAAGCGTATGGCATTTAAACAATTAATTCGCCCAGTAATTTTGTCGATGAGAAACTGAAAGTGATCTTTCTTTCTTCCGACGAAGTCAATTGGAGCTCCTAGATGATGATCGAACACCTGAACATGCTTCATTTGGAAAAGCGATTTGAAGCCTTACTGAGCAACCGTACAGATATTCAGGCTAAACTTAATCAAGGATTTAGACAAGTTTAGTTGTTCGCCTATATCTTAGTAAACCGCTGAATAATCTGCATGATATTAGTACAGGCTGTAGACGAAGCCCGAAAAAAGATGAGAGCATCATCCGCAAAGAATAAATGCGAAATAGTAGGGCTCCTTCTAGTCAACTTGTTTCCTTGAAAAAGCTTCAAATCCTGCCCCAAATGCAGCATACGAGAGAATATATCCATGCAGAATAGGAAAAGGTACGGGGAGATGGGGTCACCCTACTGGAGAAGACCACAATGTGGTTTAAAGGTTTCCGAAGTAGTGCCATTAATCAAATATTTGTAAGAAACCGTGGCAAGACATTGTTGGATCATCTGTAACCAACGATCCGAAAACCCATAGGCTTTAAGAACCTGCAAAAGAAAACTCCAGTGGATTCTGTCATAAGCCTTGCTCATATCAATTTTGATCGAAGCGAGCCAATTAGTGCTAGTTTTCGAACAATTAATTTTCTCCATTAACTTATGACTCATCAAAATATTATCCGTCATAACGCGGCCTATTTAAGAACCTGCAAAAGAAAACTCCAGTGGATTCTGTCATAAGCCTTGCTCATATCAATTTTGATCGAAGCGAGCCAATTAGTGCTAGTTTTCGAATAATTAATTTTCTCCATTAACTCATGACTCATCAAAATATTATCCGTCATAACGCGGCCTTGAACAAAGGCATGCTGAGAATCTGAGATGAGAAGAGGAAGATATTGGCGCACCCTTGCCACCAAACACTTGGAAGCACATTTGTACACTGTATTGCAAAGGCTGATAGGACGTAAATGCCCCACCTCTGTTGGTGTACCAATCTTAGGAATTATAACAAGAAGGGACTGATTCCATTATTTCAGTAGAAACCCCGTGTGGAAGAAGCTTTGAATGCCAGAAACAACCGAGTCGCCCACAACATCCCAGTGGGATTTGAAGAATTCGACTGTAATTCCATCCGGACCCGGAGACTTACTATTCCCTAAAGAAAACATAGCAGTGCGAATCTCAGAAGTAGAGAAGGGACGATCCAGGTTTGCAAGCTGAGAAGAATTGAATCGTGGAAGATATAATTCTCGTAGAACAACATCAATCTCCGGATCATAAGGAGGCATAGTATCACATTGAAAGGTATCTTTTAGGGATTTCACAACCACTCGCTGGACATCCGTCTGGCCATGCTGAAGAGTTCCTTGGTCGTCAAATAAGGAACTAATCTCATTCTTCTTTTGTCAACTTTTAATCTTCGAAAACAAAAGTTTAGAAGGACAATCGCCTTTAAGTATCCAATTTTTCTTACAGCGTTGTCTCCAGAATTGCAGCTGCAATAAAATACTATCTTTTGAAGTAACAATATTAGTCATGTAGAGAGAGGCATCAGGGAGTGATTGGACTAGCTCACCCTCAGTAGCAAGATCCTTCAAAAAAAATTTCCAATCTATGCCCCAAAATTTCTTATTGTTGAGACACCAATTCCTAATAAGAGACTTGACATGTTGCAGGTTCTTAGAGAAAATGAACATTGGCGAGCCATTGACATTGCGATGCCAAGTAGACTAAAGAAATTCATGAATATCTTGATTCCAAACACCAGCACTAGTAGAAAAATACAAAAGAGCACCGATTCAAAACCCCCTATAGCACCGGTTTTGAACCGATGTTCATGTGAGGGATGCCAAAAAGTGAGAGTTTTTGCCACCGGTTCAGAACCGGTGGCAATAACACAATTATGAACACCGGTTCTGCTCAGAACCGGTGCCAAAAATGCCCTAAAAAAACAAATTTTTTTTTTTTTTTTTTTTGCTTTTTTCACCTGAAATTGTCAGCAGACTGTTATATATATACATAATATACTTGAAACTGATAATTTCATTGATAACCTGTAATTTTACACTTGCAAAAAACAAAGAAAAAGAAATACATTGGATATATTCACTATAACAAGAGCAACAACTTCCTACATACAATCACTAGCAGAGCAGCAGCAGCATAGTAGCAGAACAACAGCAGCGTAGTAGCAGAACAGCAGCGAACAGAGATGCAGCGTCCGCCTGAATCTCACACCACGTCACTGGCTTAGATTCTCTGGTTTGTGCAGAGCTTGTAAACTCTACGCAAGTATTGAATGATTAACAATAAGTAATTAAGATTATACAAAAGTTGACAAAGAAAAAAGATATTAATGTGCAAGTGGGAAGATCTATGCAAGTAATGATAAAGTAACACTACCATCAAGTAAACCTGGGCACGGGCCGGGTTGGCCCGCGTGCCGCCCGGCACGGCCCGCCGTTCGGCGCAGCCCGGCACGTCCCGAAGTCAAGCACGGCACGGCACGAAGTTCAACTCCCGTGCCACGGGCCGTGCCACGGACAGGGTTGAAAATTCCCAGGCACGGCCCGGCACGAGCACGGGCATGGCCCGCCGTGCTGGCCCGCAGGCACGGCCCGCGGGCCAACGGTAATGTTACCGTTTCATCTAGCTCTAATAAGCCAAAAAAAACGGCTATAAAACGGCTAGTTTTTTGCCAATTTGCTCCCCATAAATTCTATAAATACTCACCTCCATTTCATTCCCAAATCACAAAATCACAATCTCTTCTTCTTATCTCTTATATTCTCTAAATCTCTAATAATCCTTATTTTCTTAAATTCTCTAATTATTCTCTTAAATTCTCTAATTATTTTCCTAATATCGGAAAAAATTAAAAAGTTCGTAATCGTAATTAGTGGAGCGTTGAAGCACGGTTGTAAGATCTAAACTAATCTTAAATTTATTATTGTTTTATTGTTATTATTAGAATAATCTTGTTTAATTATTATTGTTGTTAATTGTTATTGTTGTTGTTATAATTGTTGTTATTAATTATTATTATTGTTACAATTGTTGTTATTATTTATTTTTGTTGTTATTGTTATTGTTATAGTTGTTGTTATTAATTAATATTATTGATATTTTTATTGTTAAAATTGTTGTTATTAATTATTATTAGTATAGTTAACCACTTTTTATTAAAAAGTTAATTGTTAATTATGGCATCGAACAACCCATCATCTAGATCTAGGGGGAAAGGCCGACTTATCCGTAGTAGTAGTTCTAGGGAACCGCCAAATACAACGAGCCCCCAAATTACGAGTCAAACCAATGACCCCATTTACTTCCCCCCGGGCTATGAGCCATATAATACGTCGGGATTTCCAGCACCACCACTAAACCAATTTCCACTACCACCATACCAATTTCCACCTAATTATATCGGTGATCAACAAAACTATTGTTCTAGCCAAGGTAGCCAAGAAAGTACCCGAATTCCCTCCGGTTCTACCCCTTCTACTGCCACTCCCACTAGTCTCACTACTAACCATCACACACATCATGAATGGTTAACCGAAACTGAGATGCTACTTTTGAAAAACCGAAGGAGTGAGGTATGGCGTTATTTTGTCCTAAGTAAAGATGGTGAACAATGGGCAAAATGTAAAACATGTAATAGTGTATTCACGGCAGTTACCAAAAACGGGACGGGACACTTATCTAGACACATGAAAGCTTGTGCAAAACCAGCTAGTGATCCAACCCAGCCCAAAATTTCCCAATTCCATCCATACGGCTTTACATACAACTATGAGAGGGATAGGGATGAACTAGGAAAAATGATAGTACACGCCGAACAACCTTTTCTTTTCTCGGAAAGTGACGCATTCAACACCTACATTAACAAAGCACTTCAACCCCAACATAAAAGAATCTCTAGGAAAACCGTTCGTTCCGCCGCAATGAAAAATTTCCTAGAGTACAAAGTCCGGTTACAAGCCGAATTGAGTAACCTTAACTGTAGAGTATCTTTAACAGCCGATTCTTGGGATAGTGGTTATAAATATCACTATTTATGTGTGACTTGCCATTGGGTAGATGATCAATGGATGTTACAAAAAATAATAATACATTTCAAAATGCTGGAATACCCACACACCGGCATTAACATTGCTCACCATTTAATGCAAGCAATAGACGAATACAACCTTCGAGATAAAATGATGTCTATGACTTTTGATAATGCAACCTCTATGACATACACAGCTAATCTTATCAAACAAAACTTAACCGATGTACTATTAGACGGTGAAGCTCTTCATACTAGATGTGTTTGCCATGTACTTAACTTATGTGTACAGGATGGAGTTCGGGCAATTGGCCCATACTACAGCAAAATCAGAGATGCTATTATGTCTATTAATAGCTCTAACATTATATACCAAGAATGGAAGAGTTTTCTAAAACAACAAAAGATAAGGGTAATAAAAATTAGAACCGATTGCCCAACTAGGTGGAATTCCACCTATGACATGTTAACAAAGGAAATTGAGTACAAGGGCCCGTTAACATTATTTTACAACCAAAAATTTCCACAAAATGCTTTGTATGGTGATGATTGGAAAAACTGTGAAAGATATATGCAATTTTTACAGTTATTATATAACATGACGTATTGTTTTTCTACTGTTTACAATCCTTGTGCTCAAAACTTTCTTTCTAATGCATGCTTACTCGCCCAACTTTTCGCTGATCATCGCCATCAAAGTGATTATGATCAGTATCTTCCAGCAATGGAAAAAAAGTGGCGTAAATATTATAGTGAGATTCCTTTGATTTATATTTTTGCTTCCATATTAGAGATCCTAGGCAAAAGTATGAAAACACATTTATGTTAGTTGACATTTACTTTCAATGCATGTTTCTTGACGATGATGTAGAAAACTATAAGACTAATGTGAAGAATCAGTTTTTTGCTTTATATAGAGTCTATGAAACCAAATATGGCACCGTTCCTCGCTCAGGGCCTTCCCAACCATCCAAAAACGTAAGTAAGAAGGCCAAACATTTATTTTCACAAGCTACTAACTTGATTTCAAGGTTTTCAGGTGATTCATCAATCAGGAGAACGCAAAGCGACGTCTCGGAGTTGTAGATGTACCTGAGTTACGACTTCACCAAAGGCATGGACGACGAGGAGATAAACAGCCTCGACCTCCTTGCATGGTGGAAACAACAAAGCTCGAAGCATCCAACTTTGGCGGCAATGGCACGAGACATTCTTGCTATCCAAGTTTCCTCCGTCGCCTCCGAACGAGCTTTCAGCGCATCCGGAAGGGTTTTAGACGATAGAAGAACAAGTCTAAAACCCGAAACACTAGAAATGTGCGTGTGTTTCAAAGATTGGTTGGATGCGGAAAATCGCTCACAAGACCGTTTTTACGACCACAACGACAACGAAGAAGGAACCTCCGCTTCCGGTTCGGGTTCGGCTAGTTCCCAATCTATGCAACTAGCCGATGACCTTGAAGGCGAAGGAGAAGGCGAAGACGAAGACGAAGACGAAGACGAGCAAGAAGAAGGAGAAGAAGAATAGACAATTATTGTATATTGTACGATTTTAAAAATATCAATTGTATCATTTTCCAATTTTTGTTTAATACCATCATTGTATGATTTTTATCATTGTTATCATTGTACAATTTTCTCAACTCAAGTAATAATAATATAAAGTACGCATTATTCACATCCAAAGTCCGATTTGCCTTTTTTCCCCGTTTTGTTACAATTTGTAAATTCATATTAAAAAAAAAAATTATACCAATTACTAATAAATCATAAACATTAAATTTTAAAGTAATAGTATAAAGTAAATATATAAATATAAATATTGAATATACAAATTATAAAACATAAATATTCAACTTATAATTATAAAATTCATAACTTAATAACTTATACGTTATAACCTTATAAAACTTATAATTATAATTTTATAACTTATATACATTATAAACTTATTAATTTATTATGTTGTCATAAAAAAAAAATTAAAAAAAAATTATTTGAAAACTGCACCAGCCCGCAGGCCGGCACGTGGCCGGCACGGCACGAGCCCGCCAGGCACGAGGGCCGTGCCGTGCCGTGGGCTGGCCTGTGAAAATGGCCGGCACGGCACTGCACGAAATCCTGGGCCCGCCGGCACGACCGGCACGGCACGAACCAGCCCGTGGCCGCCAGGCACGGCCCGCGGCGGCCCGGCACGGCACGGTGCCCAGGATTACCATCAAGTGTTGATGTGATACTAGACTTAAGATTAATTTATAGGAGCAGTGTTGTCAAAACGATAACAACTCGTAAGAGTTATTCTGCAAGCAAAAGGAATTCTCAAATCCAATTTACCCCACACAACTCCCTCACTGCCCCTGCTCTACTCCTCACACTCAACAGCCCGTAATTTAAATTAAAGCCACAAGGAAGCCTCTACACAAACCTACAATCACACCACACAGGAACACATCACATCAGCTCTAATTCACAAACAAGTACTTTACAGCCCCCATAATCATATGAATTTACCTCCAAAATTATTAACAAAATCACATTAGATACTATTATACTCACAAAACCATTACAAACAAAATAGGGCACCAAATCCGCACAACAAAGCACTCAAACAAAGATCAGTCACTTGCACCAAAAGATGGTGTCACCGAGGGAATTGCAAGCTGCTATGTCAAAATTATGTCCTTTGCAAACCAAACAGGGCAACCGGATTGCAGAAATCAGCCCATGATCATCACACACACAAGGAAAACACTATTAGGTATGCAATCCATAAATCATAGAGTAGCAGTATCTTTAGCATAACCATTATACAATTCAAAAACCATTAATTACTGAAATTAGTAAATAAAAATAGCATATACTAATTCCTAACAATTTCTAATAGCAAATCACAGAAAATAACACAATCAATTCCGATTCCAATTTCGAAAACAATATATGTCGAGTTACTACACAACATCAATTATGAAAAAAATGTGACAATTATCGAGAAACTAATAAAAAATCTACCCTAAAATCACAATCACAAATTCAAATAAAAATACAATAAATTCGCCATATATACATCTACAAATCATATAAGCCAATTCAAATTCAACAATCAAATCAAAATTCTGCAACAAAAATGAATGATAAATTGAAATCAAAGAGAAGAAAGAGAAACTGACATGTTTGATGGATTCAGCAATTTCAGGGTCAATACCATCGCCGGGAAAGAGAGTGGCGGTGATGGGAGCTCCAGTGGAGAATTGGCTCCAATATCCACCACAGGCAGCGGCTACTGCTGCAACAGCAAGGCCTGCGAGGCAGCGGCTGCAGCAGTTAAACAACCTTTCACAGTTTGCAGCCATCCCTACAATTCGTTCTTTATCATATGTAGTGCAACATGCAGGCAGCGTCCCTCCGACTCATCTTTCTAGGCCATATCCATTATGTGATGCCAACACCACACACAAATCTGCACAAAAGCACAAAAGCACAAAGAAATTAATACAGTTCACCACACACATAGTTCACTGCTGTCATTGGGTGACCAAAATGAACAAACCTCCCTTCAAGTGGAACTTGGCTGAAGTCAATAAGTAGTAGCCAATTAAAACGGAACATCATAAGCATTATTATAATATTTTTCTAGATGTTATAATTGTAGTATTATAACTCATCAAGACACAAAATTGATGTTAAGCTTTTGAAATCTAGGAATTAGATCTTGCCATAATCCCCATGTTATAACGGATGCAAGAAATATTAACAAAATCAACAAAAATAAGAAAACAGATATCTTATGTTCGAAGGGGCCTGCGAGGCAACAACAACAATATGGCTGCGGGGCATGTCTTGGCAGAGCATGTATGATACTAACTCCCACTAACTCATAAAAATCACATACCAGATTCAAGTATACGCAAATTGTAAGCTAAAAGATGCCACAACTACCTCCCCCCAATCTCTTTGAGTTTGGTTGGATGAGAAAGACATGAGACTATACTAATCCTTCCAAACAGCAATAAGTTCAAAATAGTTGAGGCAAACACTTGGCCACTTAACGATATCCAACTGTAGGGAATAATTTCAAGCCTTTAAATCCCACTAGCTTGAACCCCACTGTGATCATACACTAAAGTACGGTGGCGTCCAAAAGGGAAGAAGATAGAGCAAAAGAGTCGCCAACAAGTTTTTTAAGGAACTTGTAAACCGTTCATAGGATGAAGGTTACACCCCTTAACGATCCAAGAGATCGTCAACTCCATAAGGTCTAGAACCAAATAAGGGTTCGGGGATGAAGGTACAAATCCAACCTAAAAGAGATTGAACCTGCCCTAATAATAGGCCTCTACTTTATTCTGATCGTATTCATGTGCGCTTTCTGATTAACATACAATCAATAGGTTTAACCCTAAATCTGTTTATCTATGTTGGTTGAATTTAATGCACAAATAAACTATTATTGGCGATCACTTGAATTATAATCATATTAACCCTAAACAAGATTATTAATTATCTTATTAAGCGTGATTACAAGTACAAATTCCCTTTAAACATGCATAAAGGTGTGATCAAGCAATAACAATAAAATATCAAGCAACATATAATAATCATCATGAATAATAATTATAATCATAATAATTATCATAACAATAATAATAATCATCATTATAAAATTATAGTCATAATCAAAACAATAATAATCATAAATAAAATAATCATCATCAAAATAACAATAATAATATTCATAATCATCATAAATTATAACAACTATAATCATAATCATGTTCATGTTAATATTAAAGCATAATAATAGCAAGATCCTAGGCATGATACTAACAAGATGAATAACAAACCTTAGCATGTCAATAAACAATAAAAATCATATCTTTAACCCTAACATGATACTAACAATCATAAATATTAGGAAGAATATAGGAAGCATCGTAACAATCATATTTAATATTAAAATTACCCTAAATAATCATATTTATGATGTAAACATGATTTCTACATCATAATATCAATTAAAACCAATTAAAGTACTTACTTTGATGTTTCGTACCTCTTTCTAATAACAAAATACACACGTTAGTAACTTCAAGGAAAATAATAAAACAAACAATTAAATTAAATAATTGAAAGAGAGATTTGAGACCAAACCCTCATAAACTAAACCTTTCACGTCTAGGGCGAAGGCAACTTCGAATATGGCTAGGTGTTTCTAGATCTTGTGAATGCGGAATTTTGTATGAAAAAGCAAAGTTTGAAGAACGAATTGAATGAAGAATTAAGAAAATGCTAATTAAAACCGATTGTAGGTGAAAACTTGTGAATGAGGAGAATTGGTGATGAATGAATGAATGAATAAAACGGAGTTTTTAATACGATATTTATAGAGAAAATCAGCCAAAAAGATAAATTAAACAAAACAGAGTCAGACGCTCAGAAAACAGAGCTGGCGCCAACCCTGGCTAACTGGCGCCAGGCACCATCACTAGCGCCAGGCGGCAGTTGCTAGCGCCAGGCGCCAGGCCTGGTTCCATGCGCCAAGGCCTAGGGTCAGACGCCAAGCTTAAATTTAACGCGTTTTCGAAAATCCGATAAGTTTACCGTACTGGAGGATAAAATCATATAATTTCCTCAAAAATGCTATTTGATTTTGATTAAATTAAAACTCTGAAAAATCAACAAAAGTCAATTTATCAATGCTAATTGAATTAGGAATGAAAAGAACCTTCTAGAAGACTAAAACCATTCCTAATTGCATTAGGAGTGATAAATCATATTAGGCCCTCCCCAAGATCATTGGGCCGTATATAAAGCTCAAACCGGGCCCAGTTTAGTAAATTGGCCATAACTTTCTCAATATTCATCGGAATTGGGCTTATAATATATCGTTGGAAAGGTCTTTGCAAGCCCCATCCAACTACACTACTATTGGACCTATATCATGGACCAACCAAACTGGATTGGCTGTTTTCTTAAAATAAGTTTATAAAAACAGAGAGAAGAGAAAAGAGTTAAAACTATCCGCAACACTAGACTTTCCACACTTTCGCTTCATTCGATTATGATTCGACGTGAAAGGTACTCATCACTGGGTTTGGTTTTGGGGAGACACAAATGGGTGTCTACACCAACAAGTACTCAAGTTTGGGTAACATAATCTATATGGTTGTTCAAGATGCATCAGATATAGCCACATGTGATTGTTAACATTCGATAGTCAAAATAGTGCTATATCAGTCAGATGATCGAATGTGATAGTTAACTTGAATCAATCAAGATGCATCAGAGATAGCCACATGTGACAGTTAACTTGAATCACTCAGATGATCGAATGCATCATATTTCAAAACAGAAAAACATAGTGCTATAGTGATTCGGTCATAATCACTATATTTTGATTTATTCATGGAAAAGAGTATATTCAATTTCTCAAAAATTCAGTCCATGGAGACTGAATAAACTAAACTAATCTGGTAGAAAGTAACTGACAAGAACTAGCTTCAAGACTCCTATTTTAAGATAGAGAACGTTGTAGATCACCAGTGCACCTAAATCGATTCATCTAGCTCATTTCTGGAAAAGAAAACATAATCAAGACTAAGGAACCTAGAACAAGCAAGGACAACAGCTCAATAACAGAGAAAATTCTAAGGGCAGACCATAGTAGGATTTTAAAAAACAGAGCATAGAGACCAAATGATATATCAAGGAGCAGAGTAAGAAGATGCCTTGCGGCATTACGGATAAAGCTTAAAACATACTAAACCCTCCAGATCTATCTCTTGTTACGAAGCCTCTACTCTCCTACAAGCTTCAATTCAGCATTTAATCGCTCCTTGTCGTAAAGACAACGTGGCTTCTTAAATGTCTTCCCATCTATACATCATCCATTCACAAAATCATCACTTAGATCATCCAATTCAACCAAATATACAAAATTTCTCCCTAGAATCTCAAATTTATCATGCATTTTGATAATTTCACAAAACTCACTACTGTTTCTAACCTAATTAGCAGAACAAACCAAACTAATTAACCCAACAGAAAGCTATCAATTTGCTGCATTTCACATACAAAAACAGATCATTACTCTAACATGATAAACCCTAAATTTTCATATTAAGTAAAATGTACAGGCTTTATGACAGTAATGATTCAAAATATAAAATCACAAACCCAGCTTATCAAACAATCAATTAAAATTTTCCCAATTGATTTCTAATATTAAAATTAACTAATCCTAGAAAAAAAGAGATAATGCCCAACACATAGATCCAAATAAATGATTAAAAATACAAACAACAGTAGAAATTGAACAATTAATTCATGATAGTAGCCATCAAAATGTCATAATTGCATCGCTTTCAAAGCAAAACTAAACACCAAATTCATAATAATCCAACGACATAAACTTACAAAAATGGAATACATCAAAATTCAAAGCCCTAAATTAAGAACAAGTAAACCCTCAAATCTAACATACACTGATAATCAAAAACAGTCAACCTAACCCTAAACTCTAAATCTGACAAAATCCAATAATTAAATGAATTACCACTGAAATAAGCACATAAATTAGCAACATAAAGCGAAAATGTGTAAAATTTAAAAAATCCAGACCAGAAATTACCTATCTTCCTGTTCTTCCTGCCTTTACCTTGTACCCTAAACTTCGAGAAGAAAAGTGTTGCTTGCGACGCAGTGATGAAAAGGAGATCGAAGGAAAGGGAAATCGGCGGTGGTCGGTGGTGGCTTCGATTGCATGTGACTGCGATTTTGAGGAGAGATAAGGCAAGAGTGAGGATCTGTCACCGCCGTTGAAGTATCGGATTTCAAGGTCGTGGTGGCTGCGGTGGGAAGCTGTCATGGAGAGAGAGAGAGGAGAGAGAGCAAGGGGGAGGAGAGAGAGGAGAGGATCGAAATAAGGGCTATCGTATAAGGCAAAACTGGTATTTTTTTTTAAGAATTCCCACCGGTTTGAACCGGTGGCATTTCTCTAATTTGGCACCGGTTTGGTATGAACCGGTGCCATTTCTATTTTACTAAAACCCGCCTAATTTTTTTCCCAACGGTTTTAAAGAACCGGTGCCAATAACTCGGTGCCAAAATGAATTTTTCTACTAGTGCAGTTGTCCAGTTGGTAAGGACGGTTTGAAAGTTGAATGAACGGGGAGTCATCAAAGAATATAGCAGCATGATCAGAAATTAGAATCGCTTGATTGAGTAACCGACTATCAGGATAATTATGAAACCAATCAGAAGTCATGTAAGCCCTATCCAGTCGCTGTAAAATAAGTTGATCATCATCCCTATTATTCGTCCACGTATACGAAGGACCTTTAAAGGGAGTAGCAAGTAAACTCGATTTCAATCTAATATAATCATCTAAAATTGAATCACTAGTAATCAGTTATTGTATAAAATTTATAGTTTTATAATTTTACTACTCCCTCCGTCCCTTAATACAAATCCTCTTTTGATTTTTGTGTGGGAATTAAGAAAGTTATAAATTCTTTAATTCTAATGATTAAAAGTACATATGTGCATAACTCATAAAAAGAGGGAAATAATGTCAAAAAATACAACCTTTAATTAGAAACAGGCATTGTATTTTTTATTTATCCAAAAAGGAAATAAGACTTTGTATTAAGAGACGGATGAAGTACTAGTTAGTAATGTGACAATTTAATTTTATACAAAATACAAAGCACCTGAAAACATACCTAGATGGTCGATTATTTTATGATAAAAATTGGGAGCAAATTAGTATAGTAAAAACAATTAACTTACTAGTTTAATGCCCGTGCGATGCTCATATTGTTTATTGAATTTTAAGATAAATTTTTTATTTACTATGTATATGTCAAAATTTAAAAATATCATAGATACAAAATTAGTAAGGAATTAATCTGCTTTTATGACGATTTAAATTATGTATTAGGCATGTAATGACAAATAATATTGGTAAAAATGTGCTATTATAAAATTATATATAAAAAATATTATAAATTTCTTAAAATTAGCTAAAAATAAAAATTTAATAAA